TTTATTTAAAAAAATATTTTCTGGTTGGGTATTTTCTTATCAGAAAAAGGGATTTAAATGTTTTCTGCTTGAAAAAATAACAAAAAAGTTATTTATTGCTAAAAATTATAATATAATTTTAATATTGTGCCCAGAGAAAAATTTTATTCAAACAAAATAATTTGTGTTAAATAAAAGTATATTTGTCTTAAATAAAAATTTCATAAATAAAACTTTTATAATTATTATTATTTCTATTATTTACATTATTAATAGCATTAGTATTACTATTAATATATATAAACGGTCATTCAGCACACATATAATATCTATATTAATGAATAATAATGATTAAAAAGTAAAAAAAAAAAAATTATAACTCATAACAACGTGAAGCCTGTTTTAATCAACTCGTGTAAATTAATTGAAACAGTTCATGAATAAACATTTTTCCCAACAGGTCTTTATATATGTATAATTTTCAGTAGAGTAAACGAATCAATTATCAATCGATTTTATCAGTGTAAAACATCTCGTTTTCTTTTATATTTGTGTGACTATTTTGAGTGGGAAAAAAATTTTAATTGCACTCTATAAATTATATTCAATATGTTTTACGATGAAAACAAAAAGTAAAACAAACTAAAGTTTATGTATGTAATTGCATTTGATTAATTGGAGGAGAAATCTAAAAGATATTTCGTTTATTTTGTTGGAATTTTTTTTTTGTCGACGCTAATTTATTTGCATCAATGAAAAAGAATTTTTTGTTTTTTTTGTTTGAAAGACGAAAATAGTATTAGTATTTTCAAATTAAATTGAACTAATAATAATTGAAATTTTAATAATTGTAATTTAAGTAATTAAAATTTTATATTTTTTATAAGGTTAGTTATGCACTGAAGAAAAACGCTAAAAAAAATTTAGCGTCTTTTATAATTTAATGACTAAATATATGACTATTTTCATTATTGTTATTATGAGTGTGATGCAACTTAATAATGTGGAAGGTCACATTATCCCTGCGCTCAAAGTTTATGGGATTCTTTAGATTTACGTCAAAATGAGTCGCGAGAGCATTAATTGTGTAATTCATTTTCTAATTAACAAGTGAAATCGTTGGTTGGATTCTAATCTGTCAGAATATCATAAATGGTTTATTTCAATAGACGATTAAAACATTTAATCATTTCATAATACCCAAGCGCATAATATATTTCGTTTCATTCTCCACTGTTGCAGACAGGCATCACAATACGTTCTATTATTACCATTATTGTTATTAATATTTTTAATTATTAACACTTTTTTTTATTGTTGATTTTTATTATTACTGTTATTATTATTATTTATTTTAATTTTAATAATTTATTATAGTATTTATAATGAGAAATTATTAATATTAATAATTTGCTAATAAATTAATAATTAGTTTCAATTAATATTAATATGAATTAATATTGATATTAATTTTATCAGGAATAATACTGATATTATTATATTTAATATATTAATACACTGACTATTATTCGACAGAGTTTACAGTTTTAAATTGAACGATCGAGAATCGCGAGGACTTCATTCTTGTATGATTATCGTGATTTTTCTCCAGTTTATCTATGACAAGCTTCGTAGCTTTTGAAATCTCGAGTAAATTATACAATTATTGCGAGTCGAGAGAGAGAGAGAGAGAGAGAGAGAGAGAGAGAGAGAGAGAGAGAGAGAGAGAGAGAGAGAGAGAGAGAGAGAGAGAGAGAGAGAGAGAGAGAGAGAGAGATTCTTATTTGAAAATATGTAGTGAGTTGAAAGTCATCTATTTCAATGGGAGTCGATAAAATCATTCGTAACTGGCTTCTTGTTCAGTACAATGATATTTAATAAGTCCGAGTTTGCTGTTACAGATAATCATATTACCATATTACCATATATAACCATATTCATATATAAATATATATATAAATCTTCCACCACTAATCGATTCATTTTCCTAATAGGCACTCAGAGAAAATTCTCCGATTCCAATTTTGATAAAACTTTTAAAAATTTGAAAAAAACTACATATGAAAAAGAATAAAAATGTTCTTTAGAAAACACGCTGTGCAAATAGAAGGAGAATACAAATCAAGAGTAGATATACAAAATACGAAAGTGGAAATAAAACTTTCTTGTGTAGAAATCAGGTAAATAGAAAAACTAACAAAAAAATGGAGAATTTAAAAGAAAAATTGATTTGAAAAATTAAAATCTTCGAAAGCAAAAATTCAAAATACGCAATAATTATTTTTATTTACTGAAAAAGCGATTTTTACTTCTTTCGAACTAATTTTTATTAAAATTTGTAGTCAAATTGTACTATTTTTATAGTACTAAGTTTGATAATACTAATAGATTTTTAACTACATTTTCAGTGATAAAATCTATGCAAAATTGGTAAAACTTGTTACTGTTTTTAAATTAGTAAACCACTTCTAATTTTTAATATAGTATTCCAGCACTATTTTACTTTTACTATCAGTCAAATTCTACTACTTTGTTTGATTAAATTAATTATATTATTAATTATTAATAAATAATTTATTCCAGAGACATAAAGTGAATTAAATTATAATTTTAACTAATTTTACTACTTAATTTATTACAAACTAATTTTACAAAATTTCTGTAATTTTCGTGGCATAAATTTCCAAGATAGTCAAGTTTGACTAATTAGTTACCATTTAGTTAATAAAAAATAATCTCAAGGTGAATTGAATTATAAATTTAACTAATTTATTTAATTTTACTATTTACTGAACTAATTCATTTATTTCAAAATAAATTTGTCCATGTTACTGTAATTTTCCTGGATAATATAGGAAGACAAAATAGTCAAATTTGACTAATTAGTTTACATTTTAGTTATTTTAGCATAAGTGAAAATTGAATTAAATTAATTTTAACTAAACGTAATTATTTTTTAACTATATTAACTAAATTATTGTATAAAATTTACCGACAATTGGTCAAATTTGACTACTTTGTTTCCATTTAGTTATTTTTGGATAACATAAAATTTAAAAGGAAAGTGTAATTTTAATTAGTATATTTTTAACTAAATGCTATAAATTACTGTAATTTTTTAGTTAAAAAAAAACAAATTTTTGTTTAAAAAAATAGTCAAATTTGACGCATTAGTTTACGATCAGTTATTTTAGCATAACCTTAAAGTGATGTGAAGTACAATTTGAACTAATTTAAATTATGGAATATTTTTTAAGTACAGCACTGTAATTTTTTTTGTATAAAAGTAACTGAAAAATAGTCAAATTTAACTAATTGACTACCATTTAGTTAATATAAAATAATTTTAAAGTGAATTGATCTATAATTTTACTAATTTGATTAATTTATTTTAAACTTAATGATACTAAATTACTGTAATTTTCTTGGTAAAAAGATTTCAAAGTTAGTCAAATGTAACTATAATTAGTTTCTATTTTGTTAATAGAAAATAATTTTAAAGTTAATTGAACTATAATTTTAACTAATTTGTCTAATTTATTTCAAACTAAATTTTTCTATGTTACTATAATTTTCTTGCTAAAAGTACTACAAAAATAGTCAAATTTGACTAATTAGTTTCTATTTAGTTTTTTAGCGTAAGCTTAAATTGAATTCAATTAATTTTAACGAATTTAATTAATTATTATTTTTTTAACTATGCTAACGAAATTACTGTAATTTTTTTTTAAATAACTGAAAAATAGTCAAATTGGACTAATTAGTTTCCATTTAGTTATTTTAGGATGACATAAAATTGAACTAAAGTGGAATTTTAATTAATTAAATTTATTATTTTATTTTTACTACATTAATTACAGTTCTATATTTTTTGGTAGAAAAATAACAAAAAAATAGTCAAATTTTACTTCTTAATTTGTTTTTAGTGATTATAGCAAAAATCTAAAAATGAGTTCTACTAATTTTAATTAAATAATTTTTTTCAACTAAAGTACTCGTGATTTTAAATCCACTTTTCAAAAGTATAAAAATAGATGATTCTTTTAACATATCTTTCACTGGAATTAGAAGAGAAAAAAAAATTGAAATCGTGAGAAAATTGTAAAATCCCGTAAACGCGGAACAATGCCAAGTTGTTTGCTCTTGATTGATCGTTGGATTCGCGCGAGATAATACACTGAATGCCGTTTTAGATCTACATTGCTCTTTGCCTCTGTTTACCTTTTACCCATTATAGAGTGCGGAGAAATAACAATTTTGTACATAAGGAAAAAAGTTTTCCTTTTCTTTTTTCTTTTTCACTGAAAAAGGATTCACGCGATTGTCGTGTTAATGCTCGCGCTCAAATACCATACACGCGATAACGGATTGCGCGATTACGCGCGCGTGTAAATCGAGTACCAAAAGTACCAAGTTAACAACTCTCTTGTATATATATTTACTTGTTGGGAAAAAGAGAGGTGTGGAGAGTGGGGGGTATATAAGGAATATAAATGTACATATTATACCAGCCAGTTGTCAACGATGTCTCTTCGACCAAATACATAGGTCAGATTAATGACGCTATAAAGAAACCTTCCATTATGCCTACGATAAAACCACCGCTGACTTTATAATATATTACTATTCGCGGAAATGCAATTTCGAAAATTGACGACTTGAATTATTCAGAGAAAATTCTTTTTTCTTTTCCTTTATACTTTCCTCAATACTTTTCTTATTATGACTTTTACAGCTTTCGGAAACAATTGTCAAACATGTTAATTGGAAGGCTCAATTATTTATTGGAGATTTCGTTTTTTTTAATTTGGGAAAAAAATCTATAGCTTATTTTTTAGTGAGTGATAGGTACAATATATTTGGGGCAAGAAATAGCAGCAAAAAATTTGTTTGTCAACGACTTTTTTTGCTAACTAAATAAGTCCCAAGAAATCATTAATTTTTCTCAGTATAGAATTTTTAAGATTGAGGAAAAAAAATGCTACGACTCTTATAATAATTTTTTCTAATTTCTGTTTCAGGAGGAAATCAGTGAGATAATAGAATCCGTCACACCAATCAACAACACTGAAAAATGTTCACCCAAAATCAAAGTATTTAATTCAACAACAACACCAATGACTAGAGATCGTAATTACGGTACAAATTCGTTGCCGTCGCGAAAGAATTTATTGCGACAAGCCTCGTGCAAAAAAGCGCAAAATATAACCGTGAAAGATGACATTAGCGATTGGTCGGAAAATATTCTTGCCGAATTTAATGATATTATTGCCAAAGAAATCAATGAATTGACACGCGCCAAATTAAATTCACAACGTAATCAACCGTTGAAGGAGGAGAAAATCAATTATAAAGATTTACTCAATGAATTTGGCATTGCCGACAGTAGTTCATCAAATAGTTTGGACGACACAAAACCTGAGCAAATAGAACGAAAATTACCCCCCTCACGATTAAAGCGAAACGACATTGATCGACATCTTCTGCAGAAACACCGGCTCAGTGGAAGTTTACCCGAAAATCTTCACCATGATCTAACGAGAGGTCATTTTAGGGAAAATAATAATTGCACCCAAGAGAAAATAATAATGGATCAGAAATTATCGCGTAATAGCTCTAGTCTACTTGAATTCAACAGTAGAGGCAATGGACCAAAGAATGGAAAACTTCCACAAGAAAAACAAAATGTCTACGAGAATGGAAAGGAAAATCAAAACGGATACGAAAACGAAAATCAAAGCGAAAACGACAACAAAAGCGAAAAAGCGAATCAAGGACCCTGGTGTGGATTCAAGATGCGTTATCTCGACAATCTAAACGCAAAATTACCCCCACGACAGAGACAGGAAGTGCGCAAGAAGACAAGTCAATCGAAAATAAATCACAAGCGGAGAAAATTTAGTCAAACAGTTTCACGATCAACCAATGAGGACAGTGATTATGATGATTTACCAGCGAGATCGAAATTATTTGTCGAATATTCACCGCGTTCGGCGCCATCGACACCAACTGAGGAGAAGAAATTGCCATTTTCTCGTTTCTTGAAAAAACGTTACACACCCGTTTTTCATGACAATAATAATGAGGCGATATTAGTGCGCGTCTCATCGCTGCCCGATCAGGATTTATTGCATTTGTCGAATGAACAATTATTGATGAATGCGAGGAAAAGATGTGAGAATGAGAAAGAAATGACGAGGGCATTGAGAAAGAGGGATCTTTCGCCATTGAATTTTTTAAGGTCAAATCTCACTGGAAAAAGACTCTCTGAATCGAACAAAGACATTGGACACACGAGTCCAGTGAATTTAATGAAGTTTCCATTTCGGAGGTCGAAGAGCAATGATGTTGCTGTTGAGTGTCATTTACCGAATGTCGACAGCAAACGAGAGGAAATGGGGAATGAAAAGAAAACGGTGAATGAAATGGAGAGGAAAATTATTGATGACGAGGGCTCTAAATCTGTTTCGGTAAATATTTTTTCATATTTCACACATTTTTTTACTAATGTTAAGTTCGCACAATGATCAATGATTTATGATCAATGATTTAGAGCGTGAAATATTTATCTATAAAGAAAATTATTCATTTTTAAATAAGAACTTAATTTTTCAAAAAAATTTATATTTATTTATAAAGAAAAATATTTTCAAAAGTAATTTTTTCATTTTTCATTCCGCAATTATTATTATTAATTATTACCTATATTAATCTTCATATTCTTTCATTCATTCTGTCCGCAGTTTGAAGTTAGCTTTTGTGTATGTTTCTGTTTTTTTTTTCTTTAAAAAATATTTTTTGACAAATCGAAAATGTGCAGGCATTTTTTCATGATTCATAATAAATTAATATTAGAAATTAAAAATTTTAAAAAAATGATGATTAACAAATGAAAAATATACCCATTTTGTATATTATATGCTTTTTTCTCTAACAAATTTCGTTCTCAAATTTTTCTCAATTTTTTCTTTGTATTTATAAAAAATTTATAAAAAACATCAATAACTTCTTTTTTAAATAAATATTTAATTATTATTTTTCCGTAGGAATTAATATTCTTCAAAACATTCAAATTCAAACCTTTTTGAAATTAAACAAACTTTAAAAATATTGTTATAAAAAATGAAGACATCGATTGCTCCGAATCGAAGACTCGAAGTGATCGATTTCTTCATTTTTAAAAATAATTAAAGATGTTCGAAAGATAAAATAATTATTTTATATTAAATAATAAATATATTATGCGATGAGTTTTATTAGTTATGAAAATAATTTAATTATTGAGAAGAAACTTATAAAATAAATTGTAAATAATTGAATTCCTGTGGAATTTTTATTATTTATGAAAACAATTAAATGGATTTTGAAATTTTAAGCAAATAAAGAACAATAAGTATTTTGTATTTAAATATTTATTTTTCAAAACTGATTGAAATTTGAAAGATTTAATTTGGAAATTCTGAAAAAAATTAGGTTTTTGAAAAAGAAAAAAGAAAATTTTTTGCAGATATTACTTGAATTCCCGAAAAGTATTTATAAAAATTATAACAGTTGGCTATTTTGTAAATTTTTATATTTTATAGAATTGTATTTCTTCATCTTTAAAAATGATTTATAAATATATTTTTTTTTGAAAATACATTATTTTAAGAATTTACAAAAATTATTCTATTTAAATAATTTAATTCTTGTTGTTAAATTCTGATAAAAATTGATTTAAAAACAATTTCAGTTTTAGAAAATAATTGAGCATTTAAAGCGTTATAATAGAAATTTTAGGAATAAATTAAATTTTAAAACAATTTTGAAATAAATTCTCTGAAGATCTAAGGGAAGCAAAAGTATAAAAATATTTCAATTTTTATTTTTATTTAAAAAAATTATCCATTTTTTTGAAATTTTTTAAAGATTTTCAATAATTTTATTCAAAAATTCTAAAAAAATAATTGAATTTTGGAAGAATTAGAGTTGCAATTTTTATAAATTAGTAAATTTCAAGAGGCTTTTCATTGAAATTATTTGAAATTTCAATTCCTGTGGAAAAATATGTAAATAAGAATAAGTTTTTAAATTTTTGTTTAATAAAAAGTATTGAAGTTTTGAATAATTTAATTCAGAAATTTCAAATATTTAATTTAAAATTCTATTAAAATGTAATTATTTTCTTTTAAAAGTTAGTTGATATTTTACAAAAAAATGTATAAATAAATATAATAATAAATGTACAAAATTACTTTTTTGATTAACTTTTTTTCTTTCTTTTCTTCAGTTGCCAATTTCTCTACATTCTCTGCTATCAAAATTTCGAAGTGGATCGGGCACTTGTTGTACGAGTTCACCTCCCACGGAATCATTCACCTGTGCTGATATAGCAATACAAACTTCACCTGCGATTTCGAGAAGCTCGAGCTTTACATGGGTCAGCGATTGCGAATCTCCACGAGGTAAGAAATAAGAAAATATGTCAGTTTCACGTTGAAAAGGATATATTCTAAACAAAAAAAAAAAAATTCTAATCAATATCAATATCTTTATTTTAAACATGAAAAAATTTGTCTGACCTAAAAGTTGTTCTTCTACTAAAAAGAATATAACTTATTTTTGTAACTGAATAATTAGGAATTGTAAAAAAATTGTATAAGGCTATTTTTTTCACTGATGAAAAGAGAGTAAATGTTAAAATTTTTCTAAAGACTATAAAAACGAAAATAAAACTTTTTCTAGACAATACTAAAAAAATGTCTGACGAAACTAGAAATGTTCTACTTGAAATAAATGATTTTGTTTCACACGAATTATTTATCTATTTTTTTTTAATATTCATGTCTGACTAAACACAATTTGATCTACTTAATTTTTTTATCATTTTGATCCAATTTAGTATCAATTTGATACTTTCAAGGAAACTGTGAACACACCTATCATAAATTAAAAGTTGTCTGACTAAAACCTTCTTGTTCTACTTAAAAATTAAAACTACTTATTTTTCTGCCAATAACTGAAATGTCTGACTGCACACAGTTTTCTCTACTGAAAATTTTAAAAAATTTCTAAAACACACAAAATATTTCAAAAATTTTTCCTCTAAAAACAAGAATATTTTTTTTCAGTGTTTATTAATAATAGTTTTTTTTAATTTTATTATATTTTATTGTATTTTATTATATTTAATTGCATTTCATTATAATTATTTAAATCATTTAAAAAAAACATACTCTTTTACTAAAAAAAAAAAAATCTCAAACTTTGTCTCATGAGGAAAAAAGAGAAAATGTGAAATTTTCAACAAATTGAAAAAGTTCGTATATAGAAATATTACTACTGCATGTATACATAATTATATATATATATATATGAGACTTGACGGACTATTTGGTCTTTTAAAAATAAACTTATGAATTTCTCTATAGCCGACTCTCGAGTGGACGTGCAATCACTTCAAGACGTAACAACCTTGGATAATGCGTCTCCCCAACACACCGTAGACGATGATAACAGATCATCATCTTCCTCTCAAGACCTGCTACAAAGTATGGACGAAATTTCCTCCGGCAGTGTATCGCCAGACACAACTGATCGAGCGTCACCTCTCGAAAGTGGAATTGGCACCGCAAGTCCTCCCAGAAGTTCCGAGCGTCGTTCTGCTAAACGTAATTTATTTTCATATATTTCTAACAAAATCCCTTAAAAAAAAAAAAAAAAAAAAAAAATCAGTTAAACTCACTATCATCTCATTTTTTCAATAAATTAGGTCGTGAATTTTCAAAATGTTATAAATTCATTTTAATATAATCTATTTATTTTATTTTATTTATTTATTTATTTATTTATTTATTTTCGAGAAATTAGATTAAAATTGTATTAAAAATAATTGAAATTCTGCGATGCGAGTTTAATTATTTATGAAAATAATTGAATTCTTTCAACCAATTTTATAAATTTTTTTGTAAATAATCGAAATCATGTAAAGAATTGCATTATTTATGAAAATAATTGAATTTTTGTAATAATTTTTAACTTTTACAAAATTGAACTTTTTTTTCGAGTTTTTAACTAAACATCTTCTATAAATCCATTATTTTTAATAATTTTTGAAAAAGTTCTTTCAGAATTTCTAATTTCATTTCTAATTTCATTTGTTTACAATTCAATTTTACAAATTTCAATTATTTGTAAATTCTTCAATGAAATATATATTAGAAAATAAAAACTTTAAATAATTTCAAATGTTTCATCAAAATTTCTCAAAAAAAATTAATTCCACAGAATTGTTCATTAAAAACATGAAAAATTCAAATTTTTAATGATTTTAATTTGAAGCCTTTTCAAAATTCAATTATTTGTAAAAATTTATGCTCTAATGCTTTTAAAATTCAATTATAATCTAAAATTTGAACTGAAATCCATTTTTAAATCAATGTTTATGAGAAAATTCTACTGGAATTCAATTATTTAAATACAAAAATAACAATTTATTGAATAATTGCATGTTTTTTAAAATTGAATTCTCATAAAGAATTTTATCTATAAACTTTTAAAATAACTGAATTCTTTTGACGAATTTTAGTAAAATTTTTAAGAATTTTTTCGAGGAATTCGATTAAAGTTGTATTAAAAATAATTGAAATTATGCAGTGAGTTTTATTATTTATGAAAATAATTGAATTCCTAAAAAGAATTTTATTATTTACGAAAATAATTGAATTAACGTAAAAATTTTATTATTTATGAAAATAATTGAATGATTGTGAAGAAATTTATAAAAATATTTGTAAATAATGAAATTCCTGATGATCCCCAAGTTTTGAACGTTCAAATGAACGAAATATTTTTTATTGAAGATATTTTAATGAATTACTAGTCACAAAAAAATTTACAAATTGAAATTTTTCGATTAGTAACTCAGTAATCAATTTTTTGGATAGAGACGCAAAATAATTGTAATAAAAATTTAATTTGTCGAAGAAATAAATAAATTTCGTTCATTTGAACGTTCAGAACTTTAGGATCTTAATTCCTGGGAAATTTTTATTATTTTTTGAAAATAATTAAAAGTTTGTGTAGAATTTTATTAAATTTTGTTTTAAATAATTGAATTCTTTTGGAAAATTTGATGAAAATAGTAGATATTAAAAATCATTGAATTGAGGAAAATTTTTGAAAATAATTGAATTTTGGAGAAGAATTTAATTATTTCTAAAGATAATTTAAATTTTGATGAAAATTTAAAAAAAATTGTTGAACATAATTGAATTTCTGCGAAGAAGTTTATTACTTTTGAAAATAATTGAATTTCGGCAATCATCTGTAATAATTATTCAAATTATATCGAACAATTTACGAACTTTTCATCTTTTTCGAATCAAATTACGGACTTTACAAACCTTTTTTTTTAAAAACGGACTTTTACGGATTTATTAATTAATTAATACACAGAGAAAAATATATAGTAACTTTTACAATTTTCGAAGTAAATTTTGTTGTATTGAAATAAATTTGACTAATTTTAACAAAAATGTATTTCGATCGTAGCAACTTTTACTCTAAAAAATAGTAATAATTGCCATAAATGTACAGAAATTTCTTTCATTGTAAATTTTAGTTTGAAAATAGTAAAAGTTATTTTATTCGATGAACACTTTTATGATTTTGTTATTCGTTTATATTCGTGTAATAATTCTTATGAGTGAGTATCGATTGTAATTCAATAGTAATTAAATTAATTAATTAATTAATAATTTTCCCTTTTTTATCGACACCAATTTATAAGAAATTATTGGAAAAGAACAACAATAATTTAATAGAAAATACAATAAAAAGTGAATAATTCGGTGCGGAATAATTGAAAATCGAAAAAAAATGTTACGTCCTCGCTTTCTGTGTGCTTACAGCGGCGACGTCGAACAAATGTCACCGCAAGGAGACTTGGGAAAGAATTCGACGTCGTCCCTCAAAGTTGAATTCGAGATTGGAAAAGGGATCGCAGGACGTTTGGATAAAAAGAGAAAGCGTTCACACGCAAACTCGAAGAAATGACGAGGATCACGATATTGTCGACAGTAGTAGTGGTTTAGATGATTCCCTACCGAGAATAAAACCAAATAGACCCAACAATCTGCCATTGGGTAAGATTCAATTATTATTTTTTTTATCTTCAACAAATATTTATAAATACACAGGCGAGGACGTAACAGAAACAAAAATAAAATAAGAGGATAAGAAGAAAAAATCTTTCAAAAAAAAAACAAAAATTGGAAATATTCAGAAATTCTTAAGTGTACAATAATTTTATTTTCTTCGAAGAGCAGATAATTTTTAAATTTATTGAATGAATAAAGAAATAAAAATAATAAATAAATTGAATTCGATTGAAAGGAAAAATTACAAGTTAGCTGAAAAATGGTATAAATAGGCAAAAAGTAGTTTTTGAAACTATTATTTTTTGACAGACAAAAGACAATTTTCTCGTTCATAAATATCTGTAAATTTTATAGAAATGAAATTTTGAAACGCATCGTTATCGTTGTATTTTACAGGTCTCTCAATAACCGCAAGTAGCTCGTTAAGCTCCGGAGAATTATTAGAAACCCCGCCACGTGCTCCTTCATCTCCATCTGCGGCGAGCCTTCAACTTAAATCTGAGCCCCTCGCAATTGAATTAGGGGGAAAAAGTAGTAGCGCTCCACTCCTAGAAAATAACAACGTCGACAAGGACGAGACACAGAAACCTGTAAGTGACAAATGCTAATTCGCTACATTTTTTTATGGCTTCTTTATTTATGTTTTCTTCGAAGGAAACCACATTTTTTTCACCCTAACCCTCAATATTTTAGAGAGAAAAAAAAATTATTTCCTGAATACACTTTTCTCCAAACATGCGCTGTGAAATTATTTTCAAGATTTCCTTTTTTCAAAGTAGATTAGAATATTTTAAACTTTGAAAGATTCAGAAAATATTTTTTTTCAATTGACGAAAATTCTTTAAAACTTTTTACATTATCATGAATCAGTGAAATAAATAAATAAATAAACTAATTTCATTATGATTAAATATAATAATGAATAATAATAAATAATAATAAATACTTACTAGAAAAAACGAATTATTGTTTGTCTGACTAAACTTGATTTGCTATGCTTGAGAATTATGCTTTACCTCTATTTTTAAAATTAGTAACTTGAAAAATTGTCCCAACAGAATTGGTTTCGAATTGAAAAAATGTGTTTCATCAAGCAATTTTTTTTTAAAGTAAAAATAAAATTAATTCTGTCGGACTAAATATTGATTTTTCTACTTAAAAAACTGATATATTTTCACTACTGTTTCAACTATTTTAAAGTTCGTTTTAATTTAATGCTAAATTAGTTTTAATGAGTATGTATTGTTTTCTACTCCAGAAACAAATTGTTTTCCACTAATTTTTTACTTGATAATTAAAAAAAATTGTCTGACTCAAAATATTCTGTTTTACTTGGAAAATAAAATGTAAAAGTATTCAACTTTTTAAACCTCTGAGAAAAAAAATTAAGACACCACTAAAAACATTTCATTTTCTAAACCTGAAAAATTCAGGGAATTTGGATCGAAATCCTGTAAAATTGTTGTTTTCTAAAGTTTTTGTGTTTATTCCCGAAAATTCAATTATTTTGAGGCATTTTAATAAAATTCTTTGCAAAATTCAATTATTTTTATAAATAATAATATTCATCACAAGAATTCAATTATTTTTAAAAGTAATAAATTTCTTCTTGGAAATTCAATTATTTTAATAAATTCTAATAAAATAGTTCGCAAGAATTCAATTATTTTCATAAATAATAAAATGCTTTTTAGGAATTCAATTATTTTCAAAAAAAATTTTATAAAATGCCACACAAACAGTCAATTATCCTCAAAATTTTTAATAGAATTCCAATTATGTTTAAAAATTAACAAAAATTCAATTATCTTTATGATTAATAAATTTTTTTTCCAAAATTCAATTATTTTCAAAACTTTTAATAAAATTTTTGTCAGAATTTCAATTATTTTTAATACATTTTTCATCAAACTCATCAAATTTCTCGAAAAATGCAATTACTCTTAAAAATTTGATTAAAATTTCTCAAAAGAATTCAATTATATAAAAATTTGCTGATAAAATTCTTTATGAAAATTCAATTTTAAGAAACATTCAATTGTTTAATAAAAATTTATTTTTATATAGTTAAATAATTGAATTCTCGTAGAATTTTCTAATAAATATTCATATAATAATAAATATCTAAAAATGAATTTCAAATTAAAATCTTTGAAAATTTGAACTTTTCATACTTTTAATTAAAAATTCTATGGAACTAAGTTTTCTCAAAAAGCTTAATTGAAATTTTTTAAAATTATTAAAATTTTTTATTTTTTAACGTATATTTATTTGAAGAATTTCGGAATAATCGAAATTTCTTAAAATTAAATTGTAAACAAAAGAATTTGAAAATTCACAAAGAACTTTTTCAAAAATTATTTTTAAAAAATTGACTCAAAGAAGAATTATAGTTAAAAATTCTAGAAATGAATAATCGTAAGGATGAACATAATTTTTAAAGAAGTTACAGTAACAAAGTAGCAAGTTTTAATTATTATAAAACATGAAGAATTCGAGCACTCCGAGTCGAAGACTCAGAGTGGTCGATATCTTCATGTTTTATAATATTTATATGTTATTGAATTTCAAATTTTTTTTTTAATTTTTATAAAAAATAGTGATTAAATATTTATTTTCAAATGAAGTTATTGATGTTTTTGAATAATTTTCGTTTTAAAAACCTGAAAAAAATTAAATTTTTTAATTTAGAAAACCTGTAAAAGTCAGAGAATTTGAAAAGAGCAAATTTTCCTTGATTACAATTTTGTCTGACTAAACATAACATTGTTCTACTTGCAACTCAAAGTTTCGCTGTCAGTTGCTTTTGATTCTATTTTAGAAATATTTCTTAAGTACGATTGAAACAATTAAACTCTTATTTCTCCACTCAACCTTTTTTTTCACTATAAAATATAAATTGAAATTCGTCTGATTAAAAACAACATGTTCTACTTAAAACACAAAATTTACGGTCATCAGTTGCTTTTTTTCAGTTCAGCAATAGTTTTTAACTGTGATTCAAAAACTTAAATTCTCTTTAGTTAGTCGACATTTTTTTTGTCAAAAGAATTCAATTATATAAAAATTTGTTGATAAAATTCTTTATGCAAATTATATTTTAATTTGTCTGACTAAATCCAACTTGTTCTACTTAAAATACAAAAATTTCTCTCACTTTCATTTTCTACCTGAGTACTATTTTTTAATGACGCGACGATTCAAAAAAATAAATTTTACTTATCCAGTCGTCAGTTTTTATATTTTTAATTGAAATTTGTCTGACTAAACACAGCTTGTTCTACTTGAAAAATTATTTTAATTGTTATTTTTGCTTACATTTGGGTAGTATTTTTTACTATACTTTAAAATTGAATTTTTATACCGTTAGTCGACTATGAATTAGAATTTTGTCTGACCAAATACAACTTTTTCTACTTAAGATACACAGTTAATATTCAACTAACATTGTTTTTCAGTTTTTCTACTTCATTAGTACAGTTTGTTCTACTTAAAATGACAATAACTAAATATATGTAAATAGATAAATAGAAAATTAACAAAAAATAGGGAAACATAGTCAGGGTTGGACCACCTTTGGAACTTTATTTATAACTTTTTTAGAAAATAAGTTTAGCATTTAGCTAAGGTTGGAACTTATAGTTAGGGTTGGTCCTGACAAGTTCCTTTACAATAATAAATAACCGAACGTAAATAAATAAATAAAAAAGGGTTAATAAATAAAAAATACAATAAAGAAAAATAAATCAAACAATCAAAAATACGTAAAGAAAATAAAGAAAATATTTGAAAAAAGAAAAAAAAAGAAAGCGATAAATATAGTTATGAGCTGTTTATTTATATATAAATATTTATCTATATGTATATATATTGATTCGGCAAGTGTTGGCTCTTGGGATAAAGTTGGACACTTTTCACTTGAGGCCAAGTATACGTTTTCATGTATAAAGATCAAATACACATCAATACAAAGGGAAGTTATTCGAGGGCTGAAGGCTGTCAACCGATTAATACGAAGGCACGGCTCACTGGTCGATTAGCTTTGATCGTCTACAAAACACGCATTCGAGTGACGTGTTCACTAACATGTGGCTCTTCGTTGAAAACCTGATCATGTGAGAGATGGACAGGCCATGTACTGACACTTCATTGATAATTTTACCCAGTTTTCTTCCATATAAGAGTGAAAGCTGCGCGCTCCAAATTTTATACACTTATCTATCTACTCTCAGCATCTCAGGTTTATTTCCCTATATACATATATACTCAAATATTTAACACTTTATTTTCACCTTGTCTCAATATTTATTTATGTCCACTATTAACAAGTCAAACAAAAATTGCATATGCGAAAGAAAACAAGTCGTTTAGTTGCGTCGCCTTTAAAAGAGCCATTTGAGAATAGAAGTTTTGCGATAAATCGTTTTCGATTTTCTATAACACTTTCGCTTTTTGTTATTGAGAAGAAAAAATATTTTCTTTGAAAAAAAATATTTTACCAGTAATAATTTTAACTAGAATTTTTAACTAGATTTTTTTTCTTTAAAATTAGTTCGTCGAATTAATAAGTTAGTAGAAATGTTAACTAATAAATTTTAACTAATTAAATAGTTTTTAAACTAATTTTTAAACAAATAATTTTTAATACAAAATATTTTAATTAATAATTTTTAACTATTAAATTTATTATACTACAAATTTATTAACATGAAGATATCAATCACTCCGAGTCTTCGACTCGGAGTAATCGCTTTCTTCATGTTTTATAATAATTAAAGATGGCAAATTGATAAAATTATTATTTCATATAATAAGAATTTTGCTAATGCAACTTCTTCAAAATTATTTTCAATTATTATTTTCTAGAATTTTTAACTAAAATTTTTCTTTATACAATTATATTGTTAATAATTTTCAAAAAAGTACTTTGACAATTTTCAAATCCATTTGTTTACAATTCAATTTTACTAAAAATTTTAAGTATTGGAAAATTCTTCAATTAAATATATATTAAAAAATAACAACTTCAAAAAATTTCAAAAAACATTTAATTAAACTTTTTGAAAAAAATTAATTTTACAGAATTGTTAGTAAAAATTCTAATTTTCAAAGATTTTAATATGAAACCTTTTCAAAATTGAATTATTTTAAAAAATTAATTTAATGCTTGCAATATTCAATTATTATCTAAAATTTTAACTGAAATTCATTTTTAAATCAATTTCTATTAGAAAATTTTTCTAAAATTTAATTATTTAAATACAAAAATTAATAACTCATTGAATAATTGAATGTTTCCTTAAATTGAATTCCCATGAAGAATTCATTCATTTTATCAACAAATTTGTAAATAACTCAATTCTTATTGAAAAATTCTAATAAAATTTTTAAGAATAATTACATTTTTCGAGAAATTCTATTAAAATTGGATTTTTAAATAATCAAAATTCTGTGATGAGTTTTATTTATCTATGAAAATAATAAAATTATTGGAAAGAAATTTATAAAAAATTTGTAAATAATTGTATTCCTTGTGAAATTTTTATTATTTAATGAATATAATTAAATGTTTGCGCAGAATTTCATTAAA